GATTGGATGCTAAGGCTATCTACCAAAACATGAGTTTAACAAAAATCAAGATGTTCGAATCATAAGTAAATATTAAAGTTTATTTCTAGTGAACTACATAGTTGTCGTCTAATTCGCGCTCTCAAACATTGCAGCATCAAAATCAACATGATCACCTCCTGTTAAATACGAGCACAAGAAAAATAAAAGAAAACAACCATTAGCAATAATGCTAAGTAAGTTCCACCTAACCTTTTAAAATAATAATAAATACTATATATAAATTCGTACAACCTCATAAAATATTTTTCAAAACACTTTATAAACCATAAATCCTAAGTAAACGATATCTATATAAAATCCCAATCACATAGTTAACTTGTAAACCATAATAATTCCAAAATACATGAAACACCAAACTTCTCCTCTTTTGAATTTCTCCCAAAATCACTTTGTATCTAACTTCCTAATAATTTAGAAGGGCGGTGCTCAACACTTTGGTTGAGCCCGGTGGTCCGTTGTTATGTACGGCCACCCCGGAACTATCGCCGGTACCACAACTGCTCCTTGGAAACGGAAACAACTACTTTAAGTGTGCACACCCCCTAAAGGTATTCCAAGCCCTCCGGGTTAGTAAGTCGATCCGGGTAGTCAGGATGTTTTCTACCAACTACCCCACCTCAAAAACTGAATGATTAGAAGCTACTACTACCACTACTACTCAAAAGCCGGGATGTTTTCTACCGACCGTCAATTCACCTCAAACCAAAACCAACAAAAATTGAGTAGTAGTAGACCTAACCACCCTCCACATTTTAAGGGACGTGGAAAACCGACACCACGGATTTCTCCCGCGATGCCCACTCTTTATGAAAATATTTATTCTTCTTTGTCTTCTCAAAATCATTCGAAGTTCGTACCTTAAAAATTTCCTTTTTGTCAAATTCCAAAAGGATAAGAAATTTACGTACTATTACAAAATCTCCCAAAATCATATACAATAACTCATATCAATAAAATAATATATAAACTAATATCTCAAATACAACCCTTTCGTATAATAATATTCACTCAAATTCAGCACACATAAATTCAATTCTCAAATATGCACACAAAAATATTTGAAAGAAAACACGAAGAAAAAGAACTAATTTCGGTTGACGTGAAACTTACCTTAAATCCAAATGCTCCTACTTCTCTTCCTCAATTCCAGTCTCTAAATGAGCACCTTTTTAATTTAGATGATATAATTAGTCACTTATTCTATTTATAATTTATTTTATTCAATTTTCCCCTTTTATTTCCTTATTCGAATTTATTAACTTAATTTATTAGTTATTCGAATTTATTTGATTAATCACTTTTTATTAATCAAATTACCTTATTAATTCCGCCATTAATTACAATATTTGAATTCTAATAAAATATCCGACTATAATTAACCACAACATCCAATTTTTATTCAATAATCACCATTAATTTACTCTACTCATAAATTATTATCTAATTACTTTATTTATATTAACCCATTAATTTATGAATTCAAATATTTTAAATATTTATATGAAGTCCGAATATCTAATAATAAATCATAAAAATTATTAATTGAATTAGTCCACTAATTACATAACTAAGTTATTTATTAAGTCTACACACAGTCAATTATTTATGTTAGCTAATCCAACCTTATTTTATTTTCCTTATTTTATTCCAACATCATTTTTTTTGTTCAGAATATTATTTTTCAATCTCAGTGATTTATTTATTTCACCATTAATATTAATATTTCTTTATTTAATTACTTAACTAGTTTTATATGGCCCAATTAAATTAAATAGACTAAGAATCTACTTTATAAATTAATAACCGTCTATAACTATATTTTGGGTCTATATTTGACCTAGGTTGTCCAGATATCTATTTTATAATTATTTTCCATAATTATTCCTTTAATTTCATATATGTATTAACCGGTTCAATTACAATTAAATATACTAAATCTTAATATTTATTAATTATAAATGGTCCATAAGGTCCTAGTTAGTCATATATTTATCCTAGTTTACTCCAATATTTATTTCATAATTATTTTCGTTATTTAGTTAATTATTTACTAAATGTGTATAAATTGGCCCAATTACAATTAAATCAATTAAAAATAGCTAAAAATATTATTTTTCAATTCTGGTTGGTCCGAATATGTATATTTATACTAGGTATTTAATTTATATTTTTCCAGATTTTATTTATTTGATTTACTATTTTATTTTTAATTTTTATTAAAACTGGGCCGAACTGGCTCATTAAACCGACCCGGCCCAAGAGTTCTGACCCAGACAACTGGGTCATCTTCTCCAGGTCGATTCCGGCGACTTTGGTGGAAACTAGAAAACTCCGGCGAGCTATAACTTGACTTACAGATAACGGATTTCGACGATTCAAGTTGCAAAATGATCCTTGCGGCGAGACGAAGCTCCTCCACCCCTATCTACAGCAAAATATCTGCTTTTTATAAAGACCCGCTTCCACAACTTGCAACTCCGGCGAGCGATATCTCTCTCGTTTCACGACCGTTTTCAACGATTCTTTTTCCGTTGGATTCGTATCACGAAGGGGAAGGTTTTTAGAGTATTTTTACGGTTCTGTTTTGGCTAAAACGAAGTGTTGCGTTTTTCATATACATATATACGTATATGTATATATATGTGTGTGAGTGTCGAACTCTGGTTGGGAATGGAAGAATTCGCAGGTCTGAGGGTGATATTTATGGGTGTAGGTCGAGGGTAGATAGCGTTAGAGTTGGTGTTAAATTCGAGTTCTTCTCCACCCGTCGGTAGTTTATCTCCCGTAAGAGTTTGAGATATGTTTTGCCGTTAAGTGGGATAATATCGGAGGAGTTCAAGCTCAATTACGATTCTGTATATAGTAGCTTAGTTCACCGTAGGAACATATTTTCTTTTCTTTTTGTACTACGTAGGTTTTTTTTTTGTTGTTGTTCAGTTTCATTAATAAAGTGTATGCATGGTTTTATGCATTAGGAGTATATATTAGTATTAGAAAAGTCAACATACAACTTAAAAAAAATTATTTTCATGCTAAAACGTTACATCTATTATCGGACCATTTTTATCTGACTAAAAATGTCACAAATGCTAAATTTTTGTCTGGTTCGCTGATTTAATAAAATGCTGTTTCTATTATTAAAATATTTTTATCTGACTAAAACGTCATAAATTTTGAAATTTTATCTGATTACGATGTTATAACTGTTGAATTTTTGTCTGGCTCAATTAATTATAAAAATGTTATTTTTGCAATATTTTATCTGACTAATTAAAATTATTTTTATTTTTATTTAAATTTTTGGAGTGTCACATTCTACCCTCCTTAAAAGAATGTTTCGTCCCCGAAGAATAAGCTAAAATAACCAAATTCTTAAGTATTACATTCTACCCCCCTTAAAGAGAGGTTACGTCCTCGTAACTATAATTTTACCTTAATCAAATAACTCTGGGTACCATTTGCGCATATCTTCCTGAGTCTTCAAAGTGGCGTTTTCGGTCAAACAATTTGACCATAACACTTTCACCATTTTGACTACTTTACTTCTAATCTCACAACTCTCTTAAGTACTAAGAGCGTAGCAAAGTCTCTACGCCATCTTAAACATATAAGTCCTACCTATACTAAGGTCATACTTAAATTCTATCTCATATAAGCTTCAAGGAAACTATCTAATTTCACATACTTCATATATAAGCAAGCAACTTTATGAACTTCACTACTGAATAATATAGATCCATATCATTAAAATCTCACATCCTCACCATGTTCCTAATAGTTCTTTTCCTAGTCATTTTCATTTCCTAGTTTTTTTTATAGAAATATTTTCAAAACCTATTTAGAAATCTTTTTTGAAAAACATATTCAAAATTCCTCAGAAAAACCATTCTCTCATACCAACTTGTTGGTACCACTTAAGGAAAATATGATGTTATAAAATTTGTTTCTCAGAAAAACCATTCTCTCTAATAAAATGCTGTTTCTATTATTAAAATATTTTTATCTGACTAAAACGTCATAAAATTTGAAATTTTATCTGATTAGGATGTTATAACTGTTGAATTTTTGTCTGGCTCAATTAATTATAAAAATGTTATTTTTGCAATATTTTATCTGACTAATTAAAATTATTTTTATTTTTATTTAAATTTTTGGAGTGTCACAGTATGTTTTAAAATAAGAGTAAAATAGTCCTATTTGGGGAAAAAACACACATGGTCCTATTTAAGAATTTCTCCCCTCTTTTAGTCCTATATGGGGCAATTACTTTATTATTTATTGTAACTCATTATTCTTTATGCTAAGTTTAATGGAAAATGCTTAAAGCACAAACACACTTACAAAAAAACTTACAAACAAGTGATGTTGCTATTATAATTACATTTGATGTAAAAGTGATATGATGTGTTAAATAATGTGATTCTGTCACCTAATTCTTTTGTAAGACTTTTTGTAAGAGTGTAAGTAGCTCTAACATAACTCAAGTTTAATTATTGTTGATTTATTATAAGAGTTCATTAAATATCCTCTCCGGTCCTTAATTAACTTTACACTTTCCTTTTTGGGTCATCTCATATTAAACTTTACACTTCCTTATTTACCTTATTTGATAAACAAATCTATACCAAATTGTGCAAAACAATGCTACACAGTGCCAAACAGTGTCAAACAGTGTCAAACAGTGTACTATACAGTAAAGTTAAATTTATTTCCTTAATATGTGTGAAGTCAAAATACAAAGTTTAATAAGGATGAGGGAGTACTTCAGTAATGTTATTTTGTTGGAGGAAAAATAAAATACCTGGTCTTCCATCATATAAAGATAAGATCATTAATTTCATATATTCAAGAAAATCAAACAATTTTATTTTTAGCAACTCGGACAAGTGTTCTTTCTTTCTTCTCTCAACAAAAGAATACTTTAATTGACGGGTAATACACGACACGCATCTTAGGAGGCGCGTTCCCCTCTTCCTCCCATTTCAAACCCCGTCATTTCTTTTTGTCGCCCGATTCTTTCCGGTTGAACCACTCCTCCCTCCCCCCTGCATTGCTTCCATCCCTCCCTCTATCTATAATCTAACTCCTTCCATCAGAAAGGTACAAAAACTGTACCGACCCAAACAAAACGTCGAACTGATATATTTTATTCAACATTAAATAATCGTTTCTTTATTTTATTTCATAAAATATGGTTCTCCGCTCCTAGTATATTGCTCTCTACACACGAATGCATTCACGCATACTGCAGAGAGATTAGGAAGTTCTGATCTTGTTCCTTCTCGATCTCTCCTCCCATATCTGCACTTTACCAGAGCATCAACTTTTGTTGGTTTCCAGGTCCCACTCTCAAACTCCCATTTTGATTATACATCTTCTTGCATTCGACGCAAAGTTTGTGTTTTTAGTTGATTTTCCTGTTTCTTTTCGCAGGCGGCGGTAGATTTCTGGTGTTTTGGGTGTTTGGTGATGAAATTGCGATGAGATTTCTGACCTAGGGCTCCAAGGAAGTGGTATTCTGGGATTTCTGGGATTTCATTTTTTTTGTCTTTGGGTTAGGGGATTTGAATGGGAAATAAGTTGGGTAGGAGGAAGCAAGTGGTGGACGAGAAGTACACAAGGCCTCAGGGGTTGTACCAGCACAAGGATGTGGACCACAAGAAGCTTCGGAAGCTCATACTCGACTCCAAGCTCGCTCCATGCTATCCTGGAGACGATGAATGTGGAGGCAACTCTGAACTCGAGGAGTGTCCCATTTGCTTCTTGGTATGTGCTTTTTGTATCCAATACCTCGTGCTGTCTCCAGCTTTCTTTATTTGCATGGATGAAATTAGATGCATGTTGATGAAAATGTTCTTAGTTTGAAAGGAATAGTAGAACAAGCATACATATCTGAACCAGGGACTGTTCTTAATGATCTTTTGATTAGGCAGTAAGCTTATGCTGCCATGTCTTTGTTCTTAGCTAGAATTTTAAATGCATCCTATTCAAGGATAGGGAAAGTATCTCATGTTGAGTGTGACAGAAAAATATTTTGGATACTCAAAACAAAGAGGTTAAAAGCATCCTAGAACTATTTTAGCTTCACTGGCAAGAATACAAAGACAATGTTGGTTCTGAAGTTTCTTCTTATTATTCTTTCATAAGCACAGTAGTTTTTTATCATGGAAAATGACCTTGGTCTAAAGATAGTCTATCTAGTTTTATCTTTGAAAGAAGATACTAAGCTATGAATTCGGTGATAGCTGGCTGGGTTTGAAGACCATGTTAGTAAATTTATGGCAGGCATTTATCACAATTTTGTAATGGTAAAACAAATTATCGTCAATAGCATAGGTTTTGAATGATTTTCTTTCTTGAAGAGCTAAAATTTTCTAAACATGATTTTCTCTGATCCATTTGTTTGTTAAAAATCTGTAATGCTTTCATTTACCTTGGGCTTGTCAGTATTATCCAAGTCTAAATCGTTCAAGATGTTGCATGAAAGGAATCTGCACAGGTACCAATCTGCCCATTCCTATTCTTACTAGCTACAGTTTTTGTTATATAAAGCTCTTCACATATGGATTGCTTAATTGGTTTACTTTCTACAGAGTGCTTTTTGCAGATGAAGACCCCTAATTCAACCCTGCCAACACAGTATCCTTAATTTCTTAACATATTTCTTTCTGGTTTGATTTCATATCAAGTTCCACATCACAATTCTTGCAAATATTCCTTCACTGTATGATAAGATGTCCTTTCTGTAAAACCTTAAACTATGCTGTGGAGTACCGTGGAGTAAAAACGAAGGAAGAAAAAGGCATAGAGAAAATTGTATGGCTCCTCAATTAATTGTTTGATTTATGCCGCACTGATTTCTTGATATTCATTACCTAATTCTGTATGTTTGTTTAATGTTCTAGGAGGAACAGCTTGTCATTGAAGCCAAAATAAGGATGAGACAACAGGAAATTCACGATGAAGAGGAGAGGATCCTCAAACGAAAAGACGTGTGTTCTTCAAGCAACATTTCTGGACCAAGTGAGATGGAGCACTGTTCAATACCAGGTGCTCAACTGTGACCGGGTAAACCTGGTTTGTCTTTAAGTTCTCTTATTATGACCCATATGTTAAACTTTATCATATTGTCTGCCTTTAGCTGCCTCCATTGAAGGCTCTGAAGTTGTTGCTTCCGTTGAGACATGTTCTGCTCCAACAATCCAGGAACCTTTATTGCCAAGACAGAACAGGTAAAGCATTGTCTGGCACTATCTTCATTGTTAAATGCTGGTTCGAGTTGACAACTTTATATGTTTCTAGGACCTGCTCATTTGGACTGTTATGAACTAGTATGTTTTGTTTAGGTCTAGTCTGATTCTATATTATGTGTATTTTATTATCGTTTCATGTTGGTTTGGTTGTATGTCCATTCTAGTTTGGTAAATAAGTCCATTTGAACAGGTACTTACTGGAAAAAAGGAAATAGAACATTTCTTCACTATTGAGAATGGACTAGTAGCCCACTCTCATCCTTTTCCTTAAGCATATATAATCTATTTGTGATTTTGTGTTATGATTTTTCCCTAAAATTTGTATTTCTAATACAAGGTTTGGGTTTGCTAATGTTTGCGCAAGTTTTTTAATGTTTAACAGTAAAAATCACATTTCTCTTAAATGTTTAACTAAAATTTGTGTTATTGCTAATGTTTGCAAGATTTTTAATGTTTATCTAAAATTTGTGTTATTGCTAATGTATTTCTAATGTTTGAAATATTTACAAGATTTTGCTAATGATTTTTCCCATTTTTAAATTTTCATTCTCCCTGTTTGTGTTATGTGACGTGTCCTCTTATTTTTCATGTCTAACAATAAAAAATATAAATATTTTGCACCTTTGATGCTTTCTAGCCCTCCAATTTCAGACAGTAATTCTTTTTTTGTCCTCCGGAATGAGTAACTCATTTTTAAATTTTCATTCTCCATTTTTTGTTTTGTGCCCTCCTATTTTCCATGTCTTACTATAAGTATATTAAATATTTTGCACCATTGATGCTTTCAAGCCCTCCGAATTCAGAGTAACTCTTTGTTTGTTCACCGGATGAGTAAAAACAAGGATATTTTTCTATTTAGAATTCGGTAAATATTAGAAATAATCGAGTTTTCCATTTTTTTATTCTCCACTTTTCCCCCTTAAGTAATGAAAACATAGCCAATTTGTAAACTAAGCCTGGCTCTTTTAATTGGGCCACACAAGCGGAGGATTCAGGATTTGTAGTGTGGGGGAGGGGTGAGATTTTTTACATTACGATGTTACTCATATAATTTGCTATATGAAATGCTTATTTACATCTATTTTCAATATCATATTAAAGGACATACTGGAAGTACCACAATGTAAAATTCGGAAACTTGTCAAAAGCGTTAGTAAATGTGCACTTTAAGAGAAAAATAGAGTAACTTAAGTATTTTTTGATATGAGTGCTCTAAAAAGCAGGTTTAGCGACTGCCTAAGTGCCAATAAGTCTAAGCAAAAAAATATTAGTTGTGAAAAAGTAGTTAGAAGATTATCATTGTTCTCTGGTGAAAAATAGCTCTAGTTGTTCTACATCAGCATAGATATTTTGTTTTAACTACTTCAATAACATTAGCGTGGAGCAACTCTTGAGTTGGAGTTTTTCGTTTAACTTGAATATTTGAAGACCACATTTTTTTGGAATTTTAGAGTTAGATAAATTACTAATTTTGAATTTATTAATGTAATGTGAACATGTAATATTATTTGAATATAAAACATATAGTAGTATGTGTTAGGAGTATTTGAATGTATAATACTTGTGGAACAGGTTTTTAAAGAAAAGTAGGAAACTAGATGAATTATTTCTTAGTTTTTTGTACGACCCAAGCTTTATATATGGTTCAACATTAAATCAATCTAAGAGCTGTCGTACTGGTATGTAATGAATTTGTTAAATAGCTCAATATTGTACAGAATCGGTTAATTTTTTAATCCACCAAGTACATTAAAAGGGCAGCCCGGTTTACATAGGCGTCCCCACAAGGAGAGGGTCTGGAAAAGATCCCACCATAAGGGTGTATAAGAAGTAAGCATTCCCTTATCATTTTGACAAGAGGCTGCTCCCAAGACTTGAACACGTGAGTACGTGACCTCTCGGTCACACAACAATACCGTAATTGGTGTGCCAAGGCTTTTCTTCAATCTACTAAGTATAATATCCCTACAAAATACTACCTCCATGATTTATTAGTTGCAACAGTTTAACTTCTGAACTATTTGCATACTCCACTTTGACCTGATTTTATATATTCATGTATTAACACATTATATTATGGCATATATTCTTAAGTTTCTTAAAATATAAATTTTCAAAATATAGTGTTTTACATTTTTACTAATAGCTAATCAATCATCAACTCATCGTAACGGTCAAAGGGGTGCATTGACAATGTGAGAGTCAAACTGTTGCTACTAATTAAGAGTGGAAGAAGTATGAATTTTCATTTTATTTTTATAGATTGGAAATCCTTGATCCCAATCAATGAGTTTTTGTTCCAAGGCATTTTGTCAAATGCTACTACTCCTGAAGTCCGACAATCAAGTTATGGTTAAACACATATTTGTGCAAGATAGTTTTTTGACTTTTCAAGTGTATGCTTACTTTATGTAGAAGAGAGCAAAACAGTAAACAAAGGTTAAGGGTAATAATGACATTTCCCTAATTAAAAATTTCCTTTTATGGAAATGAGAATTTTATTTTGGGACATCGAAATTATGAGTCAGAAATTGATTGTGGAACAGATGTATATCAACTACCACCTCACTCCTGAAATAAACTTCCTCTTTTTTGCTCAGTCTCTGTTTTATAAATTTACTTGCTTGAGTTGCTTGTATCCGAATGTCAACATATATGCCATTACCTAATCAGGCCATCTGTTTTCTAGGTGATCAAAGTGACACTATTTACTCTGTTAAGTAGTTATTTTGTTCTTAGTTAGGAGGAATATATTTCCCACCCAATTCATTCGACTTGCTATTCTAATTCTTTAGTTTTTAGCAGGGAGGATGAATTTGACTTGGATCTCGAGGACATAATGGTCATGGAAGCTATATGGCTATCTATCCAGGTACATGGAGAACCTGCAACACTCACTGTTGGACTTGTTTCTTTGTCCCACTTTTTCTTTTGTAACTTTACTTTCCTGTTTTATACAATGACACAGTCTAAGTGACTTGGTTACCTACTTTTAACTTTTAGCAACTTGAAAGAAAATTTGTATATTATAAATTGGTGAGGGGGGGGGGGGACCAAAACCATCAAAGTAGATCAAATAGTGAAACTGACCTTTGAACTAAAAGCCAAGCTCCAATGTAGTTTATGAGATCGCTGTCAAAACCCTCCTAATTGTCTGTGTACACAGGCAATGTGCACATTTTGTGTACATTTTGTGTACACCAAGAATGGTCCATTCGGCTAAGCCCCAACATCTTTTATTGTCAAAATCCCTTATTTTCCTATGATGAAAATGAAATCAGATTTAAAAAAAAACCTCTACGCTTAGACTAAGGCAGCCATGCATTGACCTCAGATAAAGGTTGATGAAGGCATGCTATAGCTACCCCCGTCAGTCATCTTATTATTATTAATAGTTAATGTCTTATTGTCTTTATTATTTTAATCTTTTAAATGTAAAACTTAAAAATCCTTGCTGCCTGGACGATAACAGGCGCGAGAAAAGGCAGGACATGTTGTCATTTATTTATTTATTTTCCAACTTGAAGATGGTGGAGGTGGACTAAGGCAGCCTTTGCTGCTATAGCCACAACTAAATTTCGTTTTCTTAGAAACATTTAATTTTAAAAATATCTTAACCTGATTTTATTTCCATGTCTTACATTGAGGTTTTATTTGATTCCATCTGAAACATTACCCTTATACTTATTATGCACAAAAGCGATTCCATGTAAACATTGTGACAAATGAACATGTAACATAAACTTAGCATCATGTGAGTACATATTTGAAAATTATGGAGCCTTTTCAGCTTGGACATATTCATCAAGAACAGTTCCATCACAAAACTAGCCAATTCGGTAATAGATGTTATTGGGGGGCCTCAGCCATGTTTGAGCATTATCACAATCAGTACTGTAGGGTAATTTTACTCAGTTGTCTAACATGGTATGGCAGGAAAACGGAAAGTTCCAGACTCCAGGTTATAATGGTGAACACGCAGCTGGCCATCCATCTGAACATGTTGTACCCATAGCTCCACCTGTGGGGGGAGCACCATCATGCTCGTCATCTTCCCCTTCCCCTTCAGGAGGTCTGGCTTGTGCAATTGCAGCCCTTGCAGAGCGGCAGCAAACAGGCAGGGAGTCTTCCTCCTCCTCCAGTACTTATAGTGGTGTACCACTATTATCATCATTTCATCCCTTCAGCCATTCTGCACCTAGCAACAGATTTTCAGACATGGTGGTGCAAGGAAATGAAGGTTACCATCCACCTCAGAGCGAGATGAACGAAGATAGGAGGGAATGGGCTGACGGTGTTTCTTTGATGGATGATGTTACAAGCCCAGGTGACAGAGAGAGCTATCATCAGCCTATCTCAGGGCCTCCCATTGTTCCAGAAAGTTTTGAAGAGCAGATGATGCTAGCTATGGCTGTTTCTCTTGCTGACTCACAATCAATGACAAGTAATAATGCACCAGCAGAAGAGGCATGGCATTAGTTCTTAGCAGGATATTGTTACTTAGGTGTCATTCCTTTTACTTTTTTTTTTCATTTCCCGCGTTCTGGCACATTTTATTCAGAGAAAAAGAGAAAAGAAATGCCCCCTCCCGTTTTTTACCTTTTTCTGATTTCTAAAACATTTGTGGTAGATTTTAGTATATTGTAGAGCAAGTGGTTGTAGTGAATGATTATATACTGTTCTTTCATCTGGCAAAAATACAGAAAGGCCAGGAAAAAAAGCGTGGGATGAATTAGAAGGAAAATCTTGAAACCGTTTGAACCGAAGTGGCTGGTATGTAAACCTGTTGACAAACTCTTGTTCTATTTGGAGGAAGAATGAACAACCCTGAGAATTTTGTGTGGTTTGAAAGTCAGAATCACAAGTGTGTTAGTATTTTCTTTGGCAATGGCTCTTTTAGCACCTCATGATGATGCAATAACTCTTTGTTTGTTTGGGACTTTGGGGTGATTTTGTTTAGAAAGACTTGGGGAAGATGAAAGGGGAAGAGAATGAAACTTGTGTTCGGCGAAGGAGAGAAAGTGAACAAAATTCATGGGGAGTGGGGACTAGGCAAAACCACTTTGCTTGTTTCATAGTTTGATTTGACATGTTTTGGATACTATTAGTAAAATTTCCCGAAATAGGAGTTAACATGTTTATAAATTTTAAAATAAGACCATCATTTTTGAATTCCGTAAAAAAGAGTAATTATTGCTAAGCTTTGGAAAATATTACTAATATCATATTTAATATTTGATAATGCCAAAACATGGCAGTAATTATTCTTATTAAAAAAATCATTATCTTATCTGTTTATATTTTAAAACTCATTTTCAAAAAAATTACTCAAACATACAAATGACAAATAATAACTCAAATATAGTCCCAAAAATTACCAACAATTAAAATCCAGACAAAATAATTTATCTTAGCATTGTGTTCAAGATATATGGAGTACATAACTAATAAGGTAAGTTTTCATGAAAAAGTTTTAAATAGTTTTTTGGATAAAAATTTGACTAAAGTTATAATGAAATATTGTCATGGTCACTACGGTAATAAAATTGAACATGGTTGTAGACTTGTAGTTACTAAACGTTACTAACTTTTTATTTGTCATGCTTATTTTGGTCAGGTATTAGGAATTGTTTCTAAATAATGTTGTTCATTACATTGATTTTATATTAAAGGTAACTATTTTGGGTTATGGCAAGTCCGAGCAGGGTTATAGATTTTAGGGACCGCTAGTGAGTTCGACTTTTCGTGTTTGATCTGGTTATTTTATTTGGATTGTGTAAAAAGAAAAAACACGGATATGTAGCACCTTTTGAGTCCGCCTAAGGTTGATTTCCGAGTTTCGGTTCGATTTTTCCCACTTCTAATCACGTTTATTATAAATTAAATGGTGCTAATTAAACGCTCTTTTAGTATAAGAAATTTGGCATATAAAATTATCTATTTTTTAAATTCGATGTTTGTGATTGGTAGAATTTTCGATGATAGGGAGGCTCGAGCCTCGAGTGGTCTCATTTGATGATAGGATCATGCATGATTAACGTGAGAACTCCATTTTTAATCAAATGTGATGCACTATATCATTTTTATTTTGCACATTTCCGTGTTAGAGAAATATTTACTAGTTTTTCATCACATTGATTTGATGTTAGCATGTTTTGATCAAACTTTAAAAAACGCAATAGATGAGCTTCATAGTACGTGCACTAAATTTTGCTAGAAGCGAATGGTTCGCACGTTAAGCACGGTTATCATTGGAACCACGCGCTCCCTATATTTATAATATGTAAAAGTATATTAACATTTTAATTTTTTGTGTGGTAGTATAACATTCTGTACATGTCCCTTATATTCACCCTTATACACACTCCTGTGAGAAACTATTTTTTTATCTGTGAATCTTTTTCACAGACAAAACATATACGTATGTTTTTGTTCACAGACAAAAATATGTTCATAAACAGAAACATGTGTATATTGTCCGTAATTTCACAGACAAAAAAATAGTGTCTTGCAGAGGTGGCTATAAGCATGAGTATAAGAGGTGGCTATAATAAGTAACAAAAATGTAAAAAAATTCAAACCCTGCCCCCATATTGTACAACTACTCTACCCCCACTGTAAAGAAAATTTTAAATAAGGATGGGAGTATCAAGTAATTAGATACCGAGTATCATATTTTAATATCAACTTGGTCAGTAGTACTTGGTACAATATCAAATTATCAACATGTTCGATGCATGTGAGTCGTTTATCACGCTGCTATCTTTTCTGGGCTCCCATTAATAGCTTTCTCCCAACTTGCTTATGAGTTATGAATTTTTATTTGCTGCATAACTCACTATTGTACCCATATTATAGGGATGCCAAGTACACCCATACCTAGCTAGTATATAATCCATCATTCAATGGAGGTTATGGGGGCCAACCGCCCCAGCTAATTCTGGTCTAGGTGAATGATATTAGTCCCTTGATACTCCCTCCGGTTCTCAAATAACTTCCCACTTTCCTTTTCGGGAAATCCCGAAATTAACTTCACACTTCTTCTTATTTCCTTATTTGGCAAATTATCAACACCAAAAGAGTGCAAAACCATGTCAAACAGTGTCAAACAGTGTCCAAACAGTGCCAAACAGTGCACTCCACAGTAAAGTCAAATTTATTTTCTTAATCTGTGTGAAGTCAAACTTTGAAGCTCTTTGAGAACCTGAGGGAGTACATGTTTAGACTCACATTTTAAAGTTTAATACTCCCTCCGTCCTAATAGAAACTTTCAACTGTGACTTAACACGCATATTAATAAAGTAGAATAAAGTGTAAATGTATGATTGTAGTTGTGTAAGAAAAATGTGAAATGAATGTGAGCCACACAATTTGTCCAAAAATGGTAAGTGGAAAGAATTTTTTGAGACGGTCCAAAAAGGAAAGTTATAAAAATTTTATGGGACGGAGAGAGTATAAAAGGAATATAAAGAAACATTGTTGCATCTAAGAAAAAAAAATGCATTATTATTATTTAAAATCAGTGTATAAGGGTGCAAGACATCTCACGCCTTTCTGGTAAGCAGCGTTCCGACAGGTTTGGTCCTGACATTTTATGGGACCAAGACCGTACAGATACAATAAACCTTAGGGATAACGCGTAAATGTTTATACATAGTATTTTTTATAAAAAAAATTAAAAGTAAAATTAAGCAATTTTGTTATCTAAATATGAGTATAACACATCAAAGAAATTAATAAGTGAGACGGTTAGAAAGATTATATTTAAATATTTAGTGAGTGACATTTGAGAATACTAAGCACCTAAACCTGCCGAATAGAAAAGTAGTACAATTGTTACTTGCGATAAAGAATTTTGAATTAGGGAAGTACGTGAAAGTTATATCTTATATGAAATAATGTTTTCATATTTCAGATCACATTTTCACTTGAACAAATCGCAAATTTCTAAATTATTTCACTTACAAGAGAGAATCAAAGAAAATAAGCAGAATATTAGGGAAATTTGCAAATTTCATCTCACCGTAACTAATTAATATTTGCTATTTAAGTATACTTTAGATGTCGTCGGCGTCGGATTTTTTGGTCGGAAAGTGTGCTTTCCGGTGGAAACGTATTTAAATTGAGACTTTTTACATGAATATTACTAATTTAGAACCAATGTCAAAAAATGTGACCATATTTATAAAAGGACAAAAATGTGACCAAGGAGGTCATATATTTAGAAAAACATAGTTCTGCCATTTTTTTATGTCACTGTTATTTTTTATGTCATTGATTTTATGTCAGTTTTGAATGTCACTGTCAATTTTCATGTCACTTCCGACGTCAAATGTGTCACTGTGCCGCCATCAAACGTGTCACTTTACCATCATCAAACATGTCACTGTGTCGTTAACTATCTCCGCTCCAACCTCTGGCCACATTGACATCTCCATCGCCGGTGTCATTGCCGCTGCTGGTGTCACTATGATTGCTGGAAACGTAAATTTCAATCAAATTTAGCCGCCACGCCAATAGCACCGCCATTGCTGCCTCCCCAACCCCATACCCTCCCCTCCCCATCCAACCAGCCCGCTCCCCTTCCCACCAGCCTCCTTCCTAGCCCACTAGCCCCCCTCCCCATCTATCCCACCAGCCCCCTCCCTAGCCCACCAGCCCCCCTCCCCAACATACCAGCCCCCTCCCCAGCCTACCAGCCCCCTCCCCAGCCCTCAAACCCTCCCCCCCAACCATCTCCACCCATTCCCTTCCCCAGCCTTACCACAAACCCTTCCATTCCAGCCCCCTCCTTCAACATCTCCTCCAAACCAACCATCTTAGTTTTAAACTTCAGCAAACAAAAACAATTGCAAAATCATCTTCCTAATCCCAATTAACAAAAATAAAGCAACTGGAGAGGCGATGTCGAAATTCGTGGCAGCAAAGCAGAGGCGGCGAAGAGATGTGCAGCAGGGTAGTGACGACGACAACTTGTGTGCGGGAGAAGGGAGATGATGGAGGTGGCGGTAGCAAGGAATCTACAGAGTCACCGGTGCATCATCCTTGACTGTCGACATGCCACATCTACACAATAACCAATTAAGAAGCTCAGCACGGTAGAAGGAGGAAGAAAGGTCAATCGGTGGTTGCGGTGGTTTAACGGCTGTGGAACGATTGTTACGGTCGAAGGTGGAGGTGTGTTGTGTGGTGGAATGGTGAAATAGAGATGGGGGACGGTGGTGTTAACGAAGATCTGTGAGGAGGAGACCCAGATGCAGGCTCCAGAGGGAAACGATCTATGCGAAAAAGGCTTGGTCAAGCCTTGCGAAGAAGGCTCCCTCCTGGAGCTGCGAGCGTGCTAGTGCTGAGGGAGAAGACCCCGATCAAGTCATATTTTTGGAAAAAGTAAAAGTGCTCAGATTTATGTCCACTCAAACTATAGGAGTAATTTTTTGCCATTATTTCTTTAAGGATGTTTTTAATGGATTGTAATTCGTCCCAGATCAGACCAGACCAGTACAGACCAGTTCAGACCAGACCAAACTTGGATAGTTATAAAAATAAAAGGAAATCAGACCATACCAGCAAATTACAGTCCAAGTAAAAACATCCTAAATTGCAATGGTTTATTAGTTACATGACCAGATTTGCAAATTATTAAAGTTACAGGACCAATAACGATAATACCCGAAAGTTACAGGACTAAGATTACAAATCTCCCAAAATATTATCAATGAATCATGAGTTTACATGAGAGAAGTAGATGAAAAGATTAGCACTCATGCGCTAAC